GTAAAGAGGCCATAAAGTGGGTGAAAATGTAATTTATGCCCTCTTTAAGGCATCTTGGCCCTACCAGACCAGTGTTAAATGGCTATAGGGTAGATGTGACTCATACCTAGCATTTGAGACTAACTTGGATAGACCCTTCTTAACTTCTATATGACTTGTGTTGTTTAAGCTTTGTCAAGTTCCATAGAACTTTTAATGAAGATACATTTCTAGGACTAAAATATTATTTTATCCTTTACATCTCTGACATTTTTCTAGAACTTTAGGTCTCAATCATTCTTCCACTGGACTCTGTGTGAATTTAGACATTCACTTTCATTGGGGCAAGTGTGGACACTCTTTGAATATGCTGATAGAATGAAATTAACTATTTCTTTAATTAAAGCTTTCAAGATTTCACATATGAAAAAAAAGTATGTTATAAAACCATGGCCAGAAGAACACTGGTTCAAAATAGCTACCATGTCTGTTTCCTGGTAGTCATCTTCTCTGTTTTGGTTTTATGCTCTTGAGACATATAAAGAGGAAATGTAGAAGTTATTCTTTGCTGGTTCAAAATCTCCCATGTATTTAAACCTCACATATTTGAATAATATACAATGAATATTGCTTTCTTTTTCCTTCCAGAACACAAAGTTAAGCTGCGCTGGACTATTTAGTGTTGAGAATTCTGCAACATAGTTTAAAAGCAAAGATGGGCTGTAACTAGAATACACGTATTTCTAGGGATGGGTATCTCACCAATATCAACACTGCCACTCTGAAATCTTTCATGACGAATCTATGTTCATCATGATAATACATGTATTGTTGCTGAAAGCCTAGTTAAAGTCAATTTAAACTTACTGGAAGCCAGAGGCCACCAAGAAACTCAAAGCCTACCTCTAAGAAGAGAGAGGTGGCACATGGCCCAGGACCTAACATTATGGAGAAGAAAGACTGAAAAAGGGGAAGGAGATGAAGGTCAGAGGATTAATATTTGTAAATAATCAGCCTGAGTGGAAATACAGTACAAGCAATTGCAGATCAAACTTCACCATGCTGCCCTGGCAATCAGCCTCATGACTTTGGTAGGAGGGTAGTTCAGTCTCTTTTTCCATTCGATGCTCAGCCTCCTCTTCCACTGATACTACTAGAAATGCCAAATGGCATGAGCTTTAGTGGTGGGTGGCCCTCATTATTTCAAACGTTCCCTTTAAAAACATTTAGCAAAACTCATTTCACAAAACTAAAATGACTCACTCATTCTTATCACTAATGCTACTACTAATCCCCTTGGTGCTAGGAAGGAAACAAGTTCAGACAAAGGTACTATTTAAATAATGGTGTTAAACTACTTGCATTTCCAACCAAAAATGGTCGGTGAAACTTCCCAAAGAAACAACAAAAGGAACTGGGAAGCCCAAGTCCCCTTATAAGGTAGAGGCCACAGAGTGCTTAAGGGTATGTCTAGTAGTAATAGAAGCTTTAGAGGGAGGGCATATGAACAGGGCATACCTATAGTGATTCATCCTTGGCATCTCTGTGGATGGTTAGCATATTTGAGTTAGTGGGTGGGTCTGCAAGTGGCCCTAGGTAGCAGTGACCTTCCCCAAGTCATGTTTGGAAATGGGGCTTAGCTTTCCAGGTCACCTAGGAAAAGTTGGTTTATTTTACCCTACATTATTCAGGCCCTGAATCCTATTGACTTCAATGATACAGGATCAAGTCTTAAAACCCAGACAATTTAGTAACCTCTTTCTTCCCTATATACTGGGTGCCCCTCTCTCAGTTGTGCTAAAGGGAGTGTGGTCCCCTGTAAAACACCAACACCCCCAAGTCCTGGGCCTGGAAGAGCCCACTTTATTCATATAAGGTCTGCCCTGGGAACGGGAATGTAACTTGCTGGGCCAGAGGGATGAATGAACAGATGACAAGAACTAGGTGGAATGCACATCATTCCCTTCTGTAGCCCATTATCCTGAAAAGATACCATAGACCCTGGCATAGACCTACACCTGGGAATTCCTGTTAGCACAGTTGGAATGAAGCAACCCTGAGAAGGAACTGTTAGGCACAGATATCCCCATCCTCATGGGCAACTGGTGCCTCCTGAGTCTGGGGGGCACCAGCGGCTGATTACCGACTTCGGAAGCGCTGGCAGCAAAACCAGAAGTGCTGGCGGCAAAACTGGAAGTGCCTCTGGTGCTTCTCTCAGTGACCCCACTCCCCGGCTGGCACCAATCTCAGGGGGCACTGGCCAGCACTTCTCTCAGCACCCCCACTCTCCAGTTGGCAAGGGCCAATTGCAGGACACGCCCCCCCCCCGTAGCCTCCCTATGTGTCACCTATGCCTATCCTCCCTGGATCCCCTTCCTTTGAGGGTTGAACTGGCTACAGACTATGCATATCTACATGTGCGCTTTAATGCACATTAGCTTATTTTAATGCACATTAAAGCACCACAACCCCCTCCCCCGTGCTCTTTAGCTAATGTGCATTAAAAAAGGCTAATGCGCATTTTCCCAGTTCCTCATAATGTAGGTACTAGATTTAATGTGCATTACCTAAGGCACATTAATTGAACACATAGACATACCCAACAGTTCTTGAAAAATGAAAAGGTTATGTCTATGTACATTTCATTTAAGGAGCTAAATACTCCAAGTAGGGACTATTCAGATGTAATAATCAATGAATTCCTACTGAAGTCAATGGGAGGCTTCAGTTCCTAAAATGGCAGTGATGGTGGCAGTTGTAAGTCTTGAATCAATGCTATAATTGAATTCCACTGCACCCAGCTTCTTTCAGAAGTCTTTGTCACTGCGAATTGTATAAGACTATTTTGGAATCAGTGTCCACTTGCATAACACTGAGAAGACAGGCAAACAGCTTCAGGTGGAAAACTGCTTGTGCCTGTAATTTGGTGAACATAAAGACTGTAGACTTATCATTTGAAATGTTTCCAAGGGTAATAAGCTGAGAAACATTTCAAAATGCAACATTATGAGCTGCTGGATGCATGTATAAGCCCTGTCATAGCCCCTAGCAAGAGTGCTTCAAAATCACTGGGGCTGCCTGTAGCAGTGTGCTCTCCAGCCACTGGGTACTACAGGAGGATGCAGCCAGAGGTGTAGTTAGGCAGTTTTGCAGCCTGAACAGTGGCAGTGGTGGTGGCTGCAATTATTCTGCCCCACCCCCCAAAGTCAGTGTTGGGGGTAGATGCCTTTTTTGCTCCCCCTTAATACTGGCTGCAGTGACCAGCAGGTCCACTCCCTCGCCAAAGGACCAGGGGAGAAGAGGACTTTCAGTACCACTCTGTAGCCCCATTTCCTGGAATGGACCTGAAGTTGCTGGATGCTCTCCTGCCTCAGCTCCATTCCCACCAAAACAGGGGAACAAGAGACCTCATGCCCCTCCCCCCCACTGGAACCAGAGAAGTTCATGGAGACTGGTGGATAGAGAGCTGGGGTAGTGGCATCCATGTCTGGAGACAGCGGGGTCTGAGGTCTCATGTGCTGAGAATGGCTGGGAGGAGCTCCCCAGCTGTCAGGAACCAAAGCACTCTGGTAGCTGTTGGTGTTGCCACTCCTGGCACTCTAGGCAGGTGGGAAGCAGCAGCCAGGAGGGCCCAGGGATCTACCCAAGTTCACTGGAAAGCAGAGGTAGAGTGGCAGGACAGCACTTATTGATGGTCTGCTCTGCTCTTTCTCTCCCTCCCCTTGCTGGGGGCAGGAAGAAGGGAGGAGCACTATGGAATGCCAGAGGACCCTGTTGTTGAACAGTCTTGCTGGTACATGATGGCTGTTCTATTCTGTCTCAAGCGGAGTGACTTCAGTGGATGATAAGGAATCCCTTATTATACAGGGTTGACTCTCCAAAGCTTTGCCCTTTTGGAGTCAGTATCACCCATGCACAGCACTCCCAAATCAGAATTCCTCATTCATCCCCAAAGATCTGGTGTCCACTTTGCACTAGTGCACATTAACTACAGAAGGGGCAAATTGAAAGAAAATCACACTCCCAACTGGGAGCCTTAGGAAGAAAAACAGGATTGTTATATCATAATTAGAAATCACTATGGTCATGTACTCATTGGGAACGGATTATATTCTTAGAAAAATCAGCCATACCTACTTAACTTGCCCATTTCTTTATGGAGTAATGTCTCTTTGAAGGTTGTTGTGCCTAATGCTCCCCTGGTATACATCTATTGTTTCTGGAGAAGCTATGCCAAAAATGAGTTTGGCCTTCAGTGCTCTGGATAAACAAATACTAGTGTAACTTGATAAACAGCAGTTTTAGGAGTACTGATCATTTCAATACATGATTTCCAAGGTGGTGTGCGTTCCTCAGTTTTGAGGAGACTAATTTGAGTTACCTGGAACTGGTTTTATTTTCAGAAAGCATGGGATTTCTGCTCTCTAAAAATCATCCCCCTTTAATGGGCATCAAGTAAAGTACCTGAAACTTGGGGTACCCACTAGTTGCCCTTGAAAACTGTAACTCTACATGATGCTGTTATCATTAATAGACCCTTTTTTGTGGCACGTCTTAGCTTGCATTAGAAAGGGTCTTAACTTCCCTTGTTACAAACAAATATGGGCAAATCCCAGTAAATCTCGTGTGGGTTGCCAAAGACTCCCTAAGCATGACTTAAATTACTTTAAATAACAGTTTGGATCAGATCCTTAGCTGGGCTAAAATCAGCAAAAGCATCACTGAAGGCAGTGGAACAGATTTTCATTACCTAGGGATCTGGCACACTGTTTCTTAACAAATCGGTTTCTTCTGAGGATTTCCCATAGATATAAAAACTACTTTTGTCAATGCTATTAAAAGATGCTTTTTGAAGGGTATTTGTACAGCTGCATCTTCAGGTCTTTATGATGCATCTTGAGCTAAATATTCCCAAAAGGGACCTTTGCTGTAGCTGCCATAAGAATTTTTCTTAAAATAACTGAAAAATATAAATTTATTCATTCAGTATTTGTCAATGCTTTTCCTTGTCAAAAAATCTGATAAACATTAACCCACTTGTGGTGTCTACGTGGTACCAAACTGAACCTTTTCATTCCCTCTTCACAAAAACCCTACACTTTCTGTTGCTGGATTTCAGTAGAAGTTAATGAGTATGATCGAGTGCCCACATAAAAGACCTGGTATCTGTGTTTCCACATCACAAAGCACGCCACCAAACATACAATAGCTGCAATCAGATTCAGAACCATCTGCAGAAGCAAATACAGGTTGAAAGCGCTGGTGACACTGGTACAGTCAGATACATCTTGGTAAACGAAGGTCCTGCTGAGGGGATCTGAAGTGTCCAGTTTGCAGTGGCAGGTATTGAGGATGGTATCACAGGTAAACTGTGTAATTTGTAAATAATGATGTGCAGCAAAAGCCACTGCCAAAACACAGGTGATCAGACCCGTGGTGCTGAGGAGAAAGTACATCAGCTGAAAGAAAGCAAAAAAGAATAAACACTCTTTTCCAGCTACACAGAGAATGGGACATATATAACCAATATATGCACATATATTTTCTAGGGCATGCATGCATTCAAGATACACTTTATACATTTTATGTTTGTGACTTGCAATAAATATGTAAATTCTACAGACCCCTGGGAACCAAAAGCAGTCCCAGGAGCCAGTACATCAGCTCTCCACACTGTATTTATCTAATCCGAGTGTTGGCTTAGTACTTTTTAGCAGCTGTGTTCTGAAAATTATAAATCAGGAACACAACTTTCTTACAAGCTAGAGGCCTAAGGGATAGAATAAGTTTTTATGGGATTGTATGGGCAGTTTGGACTGGAATGGCAGCTGACAGATCTTCAGTTGGGATAGAGCTACACTACCTTACATCAATTGAAACTCTGGTCCCAAATACCAAATGACAGGCTGGAATGGTTTAAAAGTGCTGCTGTAAAGAGTCTCTGAAAATAACACTGTACATACATTCACTCATGGCTCTGTTCTGCCCACACAAAAACTTAGATTTACATATGCAAATTGGGCAGTTAGATGTCTAATTACCCAATCAGAGATGTGAGAGCTGTTGGCTTGCACACTTCTGAAGTTCCATGTGCAAAAACTTGACCATGACAAACCAGGGACAAACTTCCACAAGTAAACTTGAATCCTGCAAAAATACCTTTGAAAATCTGGCCCATGAAGGTGAAGCAGATGATTTTCAAAGGCACATATAGAAGTTAAAACTTCAGTCACCCCTAACTTTACAACTTCCCTCCTTTAGAATCCAGGGGGAAATGTAATTATTTGGAACGTGGTCTTACAATCCAATCCATGTGGATGATTTCTTCAGTAATTCAGAGCCATGATGATTTGGGACTAGAAGACTGGTCCTTAGATTATTACAGTCTATGGAATTTCATGACTTTGACAGATTCAGCATTCATTTCTGTTTTGCATTGACAGTGGGAGTTTTTGTGCAGATACAATATGTCATTAGTCTGAGGATCATTCTGGCTTTGCTGAGCCTTGTGGAAGCATTCATTTTTCTTGGCTTCCTACTTTTTCTGTCAGCAACAACATGGAGTAGTTTAGAATCTGTTATTTTAAATCAGAGTCTTCTTTTTTTACCTCCACACCATGAGCAAACTCTCAATATATGAAGTATTTTTTATGACCTTGAAACTACCGGTATGTATGTGTCTTGATAAAATTCACACTCTGGGTGTATTTGTCTTATATCTCCAGTGTGAATCAATCTTCCCATTCATGTGTCAGTTTGGAAAAAAAAATAGTAGGGCTTATTTGAGATATTAAAGCAGTAAATCCATTCTCTCTCTAAAATAACTGAATTTTGATGTCTTGATCTTCATTTAGAAGGTCCATCTATTATTAAATTTAATTACTTCCCCTGTAGCCTTAAACTGAGGGCTGCTTCAAAAGGATGGTGGCTTTTATTAACTTTAATTACTGTACCCTTTCATGGCAAAGGTGAAATTAGAAAATAAGGGCAGGTCCTATAATAAACTGTATGATAACAGAGCTGCTACTAATTAAGGGCAGCTGCTAAACAAAGGTATTTGAAAAGTTATGAACATATGACAAAATTCTGAAAGATGATGCAGCTATTTTTGAATAGGAAAAGCCTGTTAACAACAGATACATACCTGACTCTTGGTCTTCACTAGGGGACACATTTTATGCTGGCGTATTCTGTGGTATCTCAGCTAGACTGAATAGAATTAGTCTGGATTTATATCAAAACAGAGTAGAATGACCTAGTACACTGGATTTTTTTTTTAATTGAGGGTGTGGTGTGGGTCTGACTTTCTAGCAAATTACAATGTATGTAGTTATCAAGGTCAATGCAGAATGCATGTTGCAAACGGGCTATAAATCAAAAGATACCCTAGAGCATTAGTGCCTGATGTTTGTCTGAGGCTACCCCATTTCCGGGCTTGCAACCCACCTTCCAGTTAACTCATGACCCCACCCTTCTGGTTTAAGCCCTACTGCTACAACTGAGTTTCTACTGAGTTTCAGTCCCCAATTATTAAGTGCTGCCACTCCTAACTTGAGAACTGCTGCCCTAGACTATGTTTTGGGACCAGGACTGGCCTGTTATGAAACCACCCTCCCAAAAGGGTGGGCCAGGCATGAAGCCAAGCATGCAGGAAATCTGAGGCTTCCTTTAAAAAAAGTAAGCTATATAGGCAGTCCTTACTGCAATCCTCAGAGATATCCAGAGACCTGTGGGAAAGGGGGGAGCACAGTACAATTTCCAAATAGCTATTACTCTCATCTGAGGTTTGCAGAGGAATTTCTTTTCACAGAGATAAAAGTGAATGCATTTCTAAACATCAAAATAAAATACTGTCTGGGTAGGAGCACAAGGCAGTGAGTGCTGAGATCCAGTCAGCAGATTAATCACATGGCAGACCCAGAGGCAGCTCCAAAATTACAAATATTACTGCTTAGGGAGTCTTGCCAAGGGCTTAGAATTTGCCACTGGAAAAGTGTTTTGCAATGGCTTGAGATATATAGGCCCTATGATTGCTGTCTAAATAGAAAGAGAATGGGGGAAGGAAAGTGATACATTATGTAAGGTAGAGAGAATGGCAGTACAAGTACATCCTCCTTCAAGTTCATCATGCAAAAGAAAAAAAGGGCACTAAAATATTTACTGGTAAGATTATTACATTTTTCTTACATACCATGAAAAACAATTAATCTAAAATGCATTGTGCCCTTCATGGAAAAGTCCTGTACTGTTATATAGGGATGAAACCAAGAGAATTTATAGATATTACTACTAAAACCTGCAGACTTGGATACAGATTCCTTCCTCAGGGTGAGACTGACTCCATGTAGAAGAGTAAGAACTGTCTTTTACACCATGGAATATGCTACCTGGATCAGTTAACTGGGTTGTATGTGGAATTACTTAAGTACCCACATGCAAGAAGCTGAAAAGCCAAGTTCTCAATAGTTTATAACCAGTCAAGAGAGCTCGGAATTAGGGAGAATAATTGGCCATATTGGTATGACCTGGAAAACATGTGGAACATGTTTAGTTTTTCTTTTGGTTCTAAATGACCTTCAATAAGAGTATGAGTTAACCTTCTGATACGAGTTTTGACAAGATGAAGAAAGTATCTCCTGTTGAAGGAAGGGGAAAGCAGGAAGTCTCTCCTGGAATTTCCCAGTGTCTCTGTGAATAATATGAGACAAGGATTCTCTCAAACACCGAATTCTTTATGTAATGTGTTCTCCCAAACACATCCCATCTGATAGAGATAGGAGCTGTTGCTAATACCTGCACAAGGCAAATGGAATTTTTTGGGTGTCTATCATTGCACCTTTAAGTTAGAAGACCCTAAGCTCCATGCAAGTCATGTGAGAAATAAGAAATCAATTGTTAAGAAGGATCAAAACTTGAAGTGCCATTACAAAATGATCTAATACAAAGCCAGTCTTGCCACATTTCCCACACCAAATAAGTGACTCTCAGAATTCAGTGGGATCACCCTCCAGGTCTTCTTACATTGTCCAAGGAGATGTATGGCCCCTAGTTCAATTTAGCTTTGGGTTATGCAAGATATCATGAACTAGAACTTCCATTGCAGTTTAGAGAAGTTTAGTCTTAGCCAACAGCCTCTTGCTAACTTGTGACTAGAAGTCCTGTGAGGCACCATTGGGCTTAGGTCACCATGGTTAAACCAAGACTTGAGTACAGAAGCAAGTTCTGTAGAACTGGTTCAGATTTACTTTCTTATGGAAAGAGGCCTGATCTGTGGAGCTGCACACACATGAACTCTAGAATGCAAATTTTACAACCAACTCACATAGTATCTGTGCAGAATCAAAGACCTGAAAAATTTGGATCAAAATCCAACCCTGTTTCTGAACTGTATATCTTTGTTCAGATATGGCTCTAATTGGTAATCAATATAGATGAGCTGAAGGCAGCTCCTGGAGGTTCCAATAAGCCTCACATGAACAAAGCCAGAATTTAGGCCTGGGGGAGAAGAGTCTCAGCTTTTACTTTGTTAAAAAAAAACAAACCCAAAACAAACTCATAGCTTTCTAGCCTGTTCCCTTGCAAAGAGAGCCTTGCCACTGTAAAGTGATAACAAATGGTAGAGGCTTTCAGCAGGGCTAGAAGGAACAAGCATCTGGGTTCCTCTTCTGCAGCAAGTGTCTGATGGGAACCCAGTCTCTTGCTGACTGGTATAATGGAGATGCACATGAACAAACCACTTTTGTGGGCCTGAAAGTGGTTAATGTTTGTGTTACAAAATTACTCAGGATGGCTCTGCTTCCTCAAGTTCTTTGCCTTCTGAGGTGAAGACTGAGCTGGCCACTGTTGAGTCAGGCAGCTGCTGTGCTACAGGGAGCTTACCATTTCTATGGTGAGAATTAACTGTTGTGAGAGAAAGTTCCTTCACTGGACTCTCTAATAGTAGGCAAGCTACACACAAGACGACAATGAGAAGAAATGGCACTGAGATGAGGGTGTTTCTGCAAATGAGAGTCCAGTAGCAGCTTCACATGGCTGATGCATTCCTGGCTTGATCAAGGAAATAGAGGAGTTTGAAGAACTAATTCTGGACAGGAGCTTGGACTCCTGTTCTTCTGATCCCTGGTCTTCCACTACCATGAGAGATGACTTGGACCCTCACCCAACAACTAAGGGAAACCACCAGCAATCAGCACAGACCTTCAGGAACCAAAAGGAACCTAAGGCTGGACTGACAACTGAACAGCAGGTTGCTTCAGATCTGTCCACCACTACTGTGGACACTGTTCAGAATACCTAGTAAAAAAAAGAAAGCAGCATACAAGTGTGGGGAAGAATGGTAGAATGAGAGTGTTATGGATGGAAGTCCTGTTTGGGGAAAAGAAATAGGAAGCAAGGGATTCTTATGTGCAATAGTGAGCATTGGATTGGTAGATTTTTGTGGAGGGAAGAAAGAGTACTTTATGTAAGGAATTGCACATATGTTGCTGAATGAGTCAGAACATTTTTATGCAGACCCTTGCTTCAATTCTGAGGGCTCATTATGAATTAACGTTCCTATATTAAGTTGAATCATTATTTTGGTTCTAGAGATATGAAGAAATCTCTAGCCATTTCCCCTATTTTAAGAAAATACTGTAGGACTTGGTAATGCCTCTAAAACTGGGTGCATTTTTTCAGTGCCTGAAACATCCCCATGTATACCTACAAGGGGTGACAATGATTAAATCTAGTAGGCACCTTCATTGTTTAGATGCTAAACTCAATTCAGTGCTGCATGACAAGCGATAAAATGCCTGATCTAGCAATGCTCACTATGGAGTAATTGTTTTTTGTTCTCCCCTTACATTTATAAAGGCAGGGGAAGATTATCGAAGGCATACAAGGCAACTGAGCACCTGATTTGTATGCCTTCGATAATCTTCCCCTGCCTTTATAAATGTAAGGGGAGAACAAAAGGCACCTTCATTGTTTAGATGCTAAACTCAATTCACATGCTTGGGGGTGGGGGAGTGGGGCATTTTAATTAGAGCAGTTCCTGGAGCGCTGCTTTAATTAAAACACCTCAATCATGTGTATTAAGCCCCTACACATTTAAAAATGGCCACAGGATGCTTCAACTAAAGCTCATTTGATGAGGTTAGGTTAAAGCACCCCTGTGGCCATTTTGAAACACAGGACGACTTAATACATGGGATGCTGGAGTGTTCTAATTAGAATGCAGAGCAGACTTGATTAATCAAGGTTGTTCATTTGAGTTTTAGTTAGAACATGAATAAGCATGTCTATAGCCAGCCATAAAGTCCAGAAAAATAGTACTATACCAGGGGTCAGCAAAATGCCAAAAGTTCACACAACCTCAACTTGGAAGAAGCTGGCATGCTGGAGCCGGAAGCAGGGGAGCCATGAGGGGCTTGATCCTTGCTGTGGCAGCACAAGTCTGGCCCCTTCCTTGAGGCTCAAGTGCCAAGCAAAATGCCTTTATGTGCCACATTCTGGCATTGTGTGCCATGGGTTGCCTACCCCTGCATTATACCATTTCCACTAGGGCAAGAAAACGTGGTGCTTTTTTACTTGGAGTGAAACCTATTGCTGAGTCAATGTCAGGTCTAAACGCCTTTAAGATGCTGCAAGATGCATGTGCAGGAACAAGAAAAGGTTCCAGGGGTCAAAAAAAACAAAAAACAAAAAAAACCCCATACACAAACCCAAGACAAAACAAAACACAGAGTGAAAAAAAACAGGGCAGGGCACAGTCCTGGACCATGCCCTGAGGCAACAGGAGGCTGGGTCCTCCACAAAAATGCTCTGGTAGCAGCCAGAGCATCTCTGACTGGCCCTCACCCTGGTACTGAAGCATGCTGCCTGCTCATGCAGGGCAGGCAGTGTGCCAGCTGCAGGAAGCTGGACCCAGGCTCCAGTGCTCCTAAGTAGGGAGTGTAGGTGCTGGAGGAGGGCACCATGGAGGGACCCCCACCAGCCCCGCCCACTCTTCCAGCCCCCCCAGGATCACTGCTCCACCCAGCCCCACTCCCCACCTGCCCCCTGAGCTTCCCATCACTGCCCCACCTGGCCCCATCCCTGCCAGGTGGTTGGGTGGTTGGGCAGTGAGGTGGGTGGCTCAGTGCAGAAGCCATCCTGGAAATTGCCATCCTGGAAAATGCCAGCAATCTAAGTGTGTAATCCGTGCTCATTTCAGGTACAATTTGACTTTCCTTTCTATAGGCTGGGAATTATTTAATACAGAACCAGCTTACCATATTTTTGACACAATAAAATAATTAAATAAATGGAAACATACCTTTGCAGCAAATTGCATACATGTCTTCTCATCAGGTTGGTATGAAATGCAAAGCGTAACAAGTCCAACTAAGGACACCATGCAAATCTGTAAAGAAGATTTAAATGTCAAGATATAAAACTTGCCCAAAAAAGTACCCTTCTGTATTACCAAAACTTTAAATTCTTAAAATGAAAAAGATTTAAATATCTATGGCACTCATATGGCCGCCTTTGCAGATTATTTAAGCACTTCCTTGCCTTTTAAGGTGGTGTCACAACATTTCATGAGATGGGAACATGCTGTCATCTCAATTTTATGAATGGGATTGGGCCCTAGAAAGTCAAGGTGACTTGCCCAAGAGGAAACAAGAAATCTGCTAAAGAGCAGGTCCTAACCACTAAGGTGTCCTTCCTCTTAAAGCTTTCCATTTTGAAATCTTAATTTTGAAACCTTTGATGCCACATGATCCATAATAAGGCATCACAATTAGAGGCTCAATTTGCAGAGGTTGCAACAACTTACAAATTCAGTTGGAATCAACAGGAGCTGCTGGCTCCAGAAATTCTGAAAGTTAATTCCCTTCTCCAACTGGCTAAATCCTGGCTAATACTTGCTTTAAGCACTTGAGCTTCAGAACTTTTATATTTTTCCTTTTATGCTTGTTGTTTGTTTGGTACTTCAGTGTGTTTACCCAGTATAACTGGAGAGTGTGTTTGTGTGTGAAGTAACCCCAGGCAGAACTTGTGTACTCCAAAATGGGGAGACAAGCTAGAGTCTCCAGAAAGCCCAGCAAGAACTTGACTGTTGCTCTAGGGGACATACGGAAGGTGCTATTGAAATAGGCCACATCAACCATATCAGAGAAAGAGAAAAAGTGCAGAGTAGCTTGTCAGATGGGACAGCTCTTTTTCAGAGCAGTGAAAAAAGATGACACTGCACAGAACCCCAGATTTGTCATGCACCAGAGTACCCAGCAATACTCCACAGAGATAAGCGGAGGGGCCAGCAAAGTTGGGGCATAGCCATGTCACTATCGTCCCTGCATATCTGTCACTACCAGGTACAGGCAAGCACAAGCCTCTTGTTCTTGAAGCAATGCTACAGGCTGCTGCTGAGTGAACCCGCTGATGATCTGTGGAGCCATTGTTCCTTATTTGCCCTGTACAAGCACAAGGGCTCAGAGACCCTTCATCTGGCTATTGTGCTGTACACCCAGGGATCTTTCAGAGGGAAAGGCCAGACTTTTCATTAAGGGGCTTGTCTACACACACACGTTGCATGGGTTTCGTATAAATTGGTTTTAAACAGATTGACTTACATCAACCTCCCCCCCCCCGGACAGCCTTACATTGGTTTGTGAAAGGCTTAATTGTTTTAACTTAAACCTGTCCCTAATTGGCATAAGATAAATTTGATAAAAGCCTGGTTTGGACTGCTTTATGAACATCAGCAGAGATTGTTGCACTGATTTACTGTCTTCTAGCTAAATCCATTAAACATAGACCTTTTCTAAACCTGTCTTGTTTTCTGTGTCTCATGCATGAGCCATTGCTGCTGCATTTAGATGTCTAACAAGGCAGGGGGAAAGTGTTTCTCCCATTGTAACATCTCAGACAATATTTATTAGACAAATACTGAGAAACAGTGACCACTTACACCATCAGATAACCTCAGTGGAGAAGGCCCTTTGTGAGGACAGCATTTGGTCACTGACCTCCTGTGCCCTTCTGACTTTCCTACTATCACCAACAACTGAAAACTCTCAACAGGGATAGGGTAGGATCATGAGTCTGGGTACCATTGAGTGTATGTATCACACGCTGTTTGTAGAGTCTTGAGATCATTAACACGGCTGAAAAGTAGTAGGCAACGTTTACCCATACAGTACGAGATAAAGTAGAGCCTTTCAAGCTTTTTAATCTTAACAAAGAGGACATCTCCCCTCCTTTTTGTGACTGCATTGCAGCCCTGTGGCAACAGCAACAACTGCTTTTGCAGAACAGTAATAGGAAAATATTTAGATACTGTAGCTGCTTTTATTATTTAGTATAAAGATTATGATTTATTTGCAGTAGCACTTACCACAGGCTAGGGCCAACAGGTTGGGCTCCCACAGCTCCCCGGTAGTCTACAAACCACCAACCTTGGGTATGTCTACAGTGTAGTAGCATAGGGCTTGGTCTCACTGAGGTGACAACATAAAACACTCATGCACCACATGCCTCTCAGCCTTCAAAATTAAGTGGTCAGGGGTTCCTGGAGGCACCCCTAGCACTGTGTTAAAGATCTGGTTTGCCAGCATGCTCTAGTTTGGCAGTTTGGGGTACCCCCAGGACATCCCCAGTGTCTCAAATTCATGGCTGTCTTGCCATTTTGTCCACTCTAGGGAGTGCGCTGGGGACTTCCAGAGTTAAAAGTGTGAATCTCTGATAGTGTAAGCTAAAGAGGAAGTCTGGGCAGCTGGGGACTATAATGAACTGTGAATGAGACACACAGAGAGGTAGGTATCAGTGGGTTTGGAGATATTAGATGGACAGGAATTGCAGAAAATAAGTACTAAAGATACTGGGAGTGCTGAATCTGCCACGTGGGAGTCTAAGTAAGTAATATCTTTAAGATCATGTTTCCAAAGAATTTGCAATGAACACATAGAACACATACCCCCTGCACTGAAAAAGCTTTGATAAATCAAACCACAAGAAATCTGTGCTGACCTATTTATCAAGAATCCATTGACTCCTCATGCTTTAATAATACCCAGTAACGTCATGGGGGGCAGGGAGGGAGGAAGGGGCCTGGCGTCACTTTGTAGGGAGGACTGGGGACCATGGACTCAAAAGCAGCCATTGTTGGAGCAGTGGCTGATCATACCACAGCAACTAGCACAGCAGGAGTCAGCACTGCCCTGGGCGCTGCACAGCTGCCCTAGACATGGAGCTGCACTGCTCTGCCTCTGACAATACTAAAAAATGGATGAGAGGGAAAAGCTCAGACTTTAAGAATTCACAGCCACCTAATGGACTAAAGATACCAAAAATGCACTTCTAGAGAAGCCCCATGCTTCTGATATGTCCTTTCTGGAACTTTGATATCCCCAAAATTAAGCTTCCTACTGCTGATGTTCATTGCAGCCCTTGTGTTCACGAAGAATGTATGGGTGTTCTTTAACATGTCAGCATTCAAATATCATCATCTTCTGCCTCAGCCCAGAGGAAGAAATGGTCATTGGCAAGCACAATTGTTTTCTAAACTTTATTAAACAATGCTCCAAAAGCTATCCCTGGCATTTCACACTCAGTGCTACCTGATTTGTACTGGATCATCTGTTAGTTCCAGAGAACTCAATATCAAAGGTGGCCTCTATATCAAGGGTGGGAAACCTGTGGTACATGCATCACAGGTGGCATGGGTAGCCTCTGTGTGTGGCATGCAGCAGACTGGGGAGGAAGAGGCAGGAAGCAGGAATCAGAGCAATAGATTGAGTGGGGGGAAGCTTATTGGAGTGGCACTCAGGGAGAGTGCAGGGCTTAATTTGTGGCATGTCTGCCAAAAAGGATAGCCCCTGCTATTCTATATTTAAGAACCTGTGCCAAGTTCTACTGAACTCCATAGGAGGCTTTCTGCTAACTTCAGTTAGGTTCAGGTCAGCTCCCAACTAAAAAAATTTCTATTTTCTCTGCTCTGATAAACTAAGTAATTGACTCTGGAATAAGAAACATTATGTTTGATTACAGAACTCCTACTTTTCAGTTTGACTTCACCAAAAATGTGAAATTAGTATTTCATCTTGTGGGCTTGCTTTTATCAATGAAGCCAAAGTCTCACTGGGTTCAGTGGGCCCTAGTACAAGTTCTTTATGCATTTTTTTTTTAATGAAGGTTGATAGGTAAATAGGCAGCAGGACTATGAAGAAGTATATCCCAGGTTCAGTCTCTACCCCAGCAGGATCTAATCTCCAAATTAGGACCTTGGAAATGAAGCACTCTTAACTAAGGGTGGCATGAGCTTTCATAGTAAACAATTTATTTCATCGGATGCTAGGAATCCATCTAATGAACGTAGCATCCATTTCTAGCAGCTGACAAAGTAGGTTTCTGTCTACAAAACCCCATGTCTCTCTGGGCTCTAGTATAAATTCTTAGAGACTAACGTGCTCTGGGAGTCAGGGGAGGGGTTGCTTTAATTAGAGTGTCTTCAACAGCCACTCTAATTAAAACGTCTGGTGCGTCTTGTGTATTAGTGTTCCTGTGCTTAGAAATGGCAGCAGTGTCACTTTAACTAAAGTTCATTCATTGAGCTTTAATTAAAGTGCCCCTGCCACCATTCTGATACACGAGCTGCTGGAGTAATAAATGGTAATTACCACAGTCCAGCAGACTCAATTAATTGAGCTTGCTCCAAGACGCTACAATTACAGCATGTCAGAGCAGCCTTGCTGCTTGTGTATAGTCATCCTAAGGATAAAGTTGCATGTTACACAGATCATAGCGAGGGCATTTAAAATGCAAGTACCCATACACTAAAGCTCATTAACTTGTGCTAAGCGGTAAGTGCTAAGCCCTCTGAGCATCTCAAAGTTATGCCACCTCAGGCAAGGTTTAACTCGGGGCCATGCTACCTAGCTCATTTTAGTGTAACTTCCATTTGCTCTGCAGAGATAAAATGAACGATCTGCAGTATTCCAGCATCCCAGGAGACACCACTTCCCACCCCACAACCATGAGCATGGGTAGAGCCCAGGTGTCCTAGTTCTTAGCTACACCCCTGCTTGCCAGCCCTTTAGTGGCAATTCAGAGCGATAGAGGGAAGAAATGTTATTAACCTTTAACATGCAACTGTTCACAGCACTTTAGTATGGTCTAAGTGTAATGTGTAACTTTACCCTAAGGTGCCACACTGCCCTATCTTCTAACTGCAAGGAGAAAAACAAGGGGACATGAATCACAAATCAGGATCTGCATTAAGGCCCCAACTCCACAGTGACATGCACATAGGCAAACTTTAGTGCCTGCGAAGAACTGCAAGGGTCTCCAGAGCTGCATGGATTCCATTGCAGGGCTGGGGTATAAGGGAGGTCAGCCAGATCTGTAGGGCTGCAGAAGAAT